AGCACGTGGTCTTTCCTTTTTATAACCCGCGCCATGTCCTGACGAGGGAACATACGTCATGGCAGGGGAGCCAATCACAGGCTCGCACTACTACACCTCAAGAAGTGGTACGAACTTTACGGAAACAGTCTACAATTACCAATGCGCGACAAAATACAGTATATAGATACATATATATTTAATGATAACATACAAACATTTAGTGGAAAACACTACATATCTCCCCCTCTTTAACTCAATCCGGAATGTAACTTCCGGTAGTCTACCCTCCTACCCCTAAGGTTGTAAGGGTTTCTTCCTTCATCCTTCCTCATCTCAGACGCTACCTCGTTATCTGTGACTCCCTTTCTTTATTATGTCGTCTAACTTCACGCACATCCACACATTCCTCCTCCTCATCCAAATCTATGTTTATGTTCTGTCTTTCGTGCCGTAGGATCCTCCTCCTCCTTTTTTTTCAGGTTGCAAACAACCGTAGCATGGTTTTAAACGATCTACATGAACCGTATCTAAGTCTTTCTTGTTGCAACCTTGCACCTTATATGTTGTAGTATTTATTCTTTTAATAATTCGAAAAGGCCCTAGATAATTTGGGGCAAACTTGTCTTTCTTCACACCTTTACAATGCACCCAAACCCTTTGTCCTTCCTTGAAAACTATTAGATTTCTCCCTTTATTTACGTAAATACGATTTTTCTCTTGTCGAGACTCTGCCTGCTTCTCCGACAACTCCCTAATGGCGCGTAACTTAGTAAGGAGGAATACCCTCCGTTCGTTGGTTGTCATGCTATTCGGCACGTGTTCCATGGATGGAGTTCGTGGATCTATACCGAAAAGGAGGAAAGCTGGAGTTTCATTAAGGCTTGAATGATATGTGTTGTTATGAGCGAAACACGCTGCTAAGATCAGATCGTCCCACTCGACATTATCCTTCTCACTCGATTTAGCTATCATTTCTGCAAGTGATCTGTTTGCATGTTCACAAATCCCATTTGCACACGGCCTATATGCAGTTGTAATATTTCTCCGTATACCTAGCCAACTGCATATATCAACAAAAAGGGTAGACAAAAAATTCGTTCCTCTATCCGACATGATGATTTCTGGGATCCCGTATCTACAAATGATCTG